CCCAAAAACTAAACACTAACGCTGACTTTGGTATCTACTTAGGGGTAGTAAAATTTCAGCAAAAGACTGGAGGCAATGGACTGAGAAGTTAGTCATAAGTCATGAAAAAAATAGTGATTAGAGGATTATATGGACAGGTTTCTCAATCATCAACTGCAAAGTGTCAGAGGTCCTCGACACAAATCTACTGATAATTATGGCCTACCACAAGGGGTGTCCGATAGACTTACCTCCACGTGGTGCAATCTGGGCAACGTATACTCATACGGCAAAAAAGTCTATTAACTGGCAGTTAACTTCTGACTTCAAACTGCCATGACCCCACTGTATGTCATATTCGACTACTTCCACAGTACTCACCTCATCTTTTTTCTACCTTCGTCTTTGAAACACTCTTCTGTCCCCCCCCCTCTCGACTTTCTTTCACTTTGATGTTCCTTCCTCTCTGTGAAGCCTGAATTCAACTAAGGGGCGAATGATAATCAAAATGCCTGCCATTTCATATAAATAATTAAAATGGCCTACCACAATGACTATATCTAATCAACAGGGTACTTTCAAGTGATTTCTTATAAATAATTTTCGTAAATTTTTGTTAAGACAATGCAAAGAAGTGCCTGAGTAAGTCTGTCCAACTAATGTGCAAAATGGGCTTTGGCAAGCAAGTTTGTTTAAAGCAATTAACACATGACCGACCTAGATTGAAGTCGGTCAAAGGGTCCCAAAATTGATGACAGAATAAAATGCTAATTTGGTAAACTGTTTGATGATTGAAGAGGTCGTATTCGATTTCAAATTTCTCAATATAGACAGTATTCCCAGCTAAAACCTCTATACCAAGGATCAATTTGGAATTACCTTTATGTACACATCACTTATGTTTCCTGGCTGCAGAATTATTCAACTCCTTGGAAGATGAATGGTGCTCTCTAGTGAGCTAATGAAAGCCAACACATCCCTCCAATGCTACTACCAACTTGACCTTTTGTACTACTGGAAAGTATGAGTTAGGAAGGACTTAAGTTTGACTTCCCAATGATAAGAATAGGTGTGCTGAGGGAGAAGATAATTGGCCGCAAATTTGATGATTTTATGGGTAGCATAATTCCATTCAGAAGTGATAAACGCGTAGCCGTAAATGTTAAGAAGATTCCCCACTTTTACAATTGTATGCATAAGTTTTCGGTCTAGAGATTGGCAAGCACAGACCGAGGTAGTCAGGTTGGTATACATTCGAGGCAATAACACTCGCCAATGTTCCATGAGAAGCGAACATTTTAAGCCACATCTCAGAAATCGTGTCTACGATAGTTAATACTGGGTGCAATCGCACCGGTAGTTAAGAGACCATGAATGGATCTTGAACAATCCCCGAGTATACGGTTTGGAGTCTTTGGTCGTGGGCGTCCCAGCAACGCATCTTTAAGTCATACAATTATGCGACAACAACAACAAAATACGAGAGACAATTTCCTAAAGGCCGACTAACCCGCATATGCCACTAAGAGCAAAGGCCGACGTCCCTGCCGTAGATCATTCTGGATGGCCTTTTCGAAGTGCGTGAGACTCTATACAATAAAAAGAAAAGATAATTAATTAATCAGAATCTCGCACAGGAGAAAATTTATTTCCATATCTAGTCTGGCAAAAGTTAGAGAGCATAGATAATTAACAAAAACGCCATCGCAACATTGTGAAACTCAGTTGCACATCAAAAATCATTATAATATCCAAGACGCTATTATTTCTCACGATATTATAAAATAGCAAAATTAAAAGGAGCACTGAAATTGCCCAATAGGGAATGGAGAGACCTCAAAAGAAGTTCAGAGTAAAGTGGAGGGAGTTGAAGAAGGGGATGCAGTCCACTGAAGCATATTCAAATGTTAAAAGAATTTGACCCCTAAGATTCCTAATCCTGCCAATATAAAATTCTTCTTCAAACCTTCTTATTTGACTATTCGTATCACTTTCCTATGCTTGCAATTAAAAGCCACATCTCCACTCTTGGTGTTTCAAGACAATAGCTTAAAAAAGCTTTGTCTAATCTAATTACACATCCTCCAGACTGCTAATCAACTTCTACAAGGGGCATAAGCACTATGGCAACTCACAAACAATTAGAAAAAAAAGTGAAATCCTCAAATATTATTATTTCCTAAAAGTAGTTGAAATTTACCGCAAGTATGCTTTAAAAAAAACCAATAGTCACGATTTTCTAATGCACACAAAGCAACTTATAACCTAAAAGACACTAAACTAAAACGAACTCACAAGGGCACACAACATGCACCAATAAACCTCCCAACATAGGGTAGGAATATAAATAGAAACATCTGTTCCCTACCCGTGTTTATTTTACGGCCGAATCGGGAAAATTGCATGTGAATTACTACCCCCTCCCCACCCCACCCCAAACCAACAAAACCCTGCTTTCACATGTGAATTGGTGGAAGCTGGCAAGCTCATGTGAGAGCCTATCAATACAATTAAGAAACCCCAAACAGAGGCGCTGTCCTAATCAATGCCACATCGATCAAAGAGCTTGGATGGAGCGGTAAACGAAAGTGAGAAGAGGAAACAGCATACCCTAATTTAAACAAAACAAAAAGAATTTATTCTAGGGTAAATGCGCGATAGCTTCGGCTACTCTCTCTTATTGATGACAGGAAAATTTAAAGCAACCTTGAAGCATAGTTATTTTGAAGCTAAGAAAGACATCTGAGTACCACAGGTGTCAAGCTAACAAAAATGTGATGAACTAAGCAACTTTAAATTAATATTAGCTCTTATTAACTCCTATTACCTCGACTATTGAAAAAAAAATGTAAATTCGCATTGGATGGCCAAACAGCTAAGTCATCCACTTAGTTAATAGACTCAGAACTAATGGCAGATCCAGGGGATAAATAACAAAAACGAGAAACCTAATCAAATATTCAAATGTACTTAGAATTTGATATACTGTCAATGCTTCTACACTTCTACGCGATTTATTGCATTGTTCTTTATATCCGAGAATTTGGGGTGTGGGATAGACTAACCTCCACGTGGTGCACCCTGGGCAACGTATACCCATACGCAATNAATGTACTTAGAATTTGATATACTGTCAATGCTTCTACACTTCTACGCGATTTATTGCATTGTTCTTTATATCCGAGAATTTGGGGTGTGGGATAGACTAACCTCCACGTGGTGCACCCTGGGCAACGTATACTCATACGGCAAAAAAGTCTATTAACCGGCAGTTGACTTCTCACTTCAAACTACCATCATCCCCACTGTATGTCATATTCGACCTCTTCTACAGTACTCATCTTACCCTTTCTGAGCCTTTGTCTGTCTGTTTCTTTTGCATTTGTGAATCACTCTTCTATTTCCCCTCCCGAATTCTTCTCATTTGATGTTCCTCCTCCCCTCTGTGAAGCCCGAAGTCAACTAAATGGCTAATGTAACTATCAAGACGCCTGCCATTTGTTATAAATTTCCGAGAATTTTAACGCAAACATATGATGATGACAGTTTAAACGAATTAAACGGCTAGCAAAAATCGAGTATAACCAGAAGCGTAGGATCAACAGTAACTGCAGAGAATATAATGTGCTTAAAAGAAGTTATTGTTATGGAAAGTTTTTTTCATGATAAATTTCATTTACGTCAGAAGAATGTAAACGACTAGAAAAATGTTAGGAGGGGGAAATTTTTTTCGAATAATTATTAAAATTTGCTATAAATCAATAAAAGTAGAAAACGGTTAATTTCTCTCTGGCCTTCACTAAACAACACGAAAAACACAAAGGAAGGAATCAAAGTCACAAGAGAAAGCATAAGACTTGAAATAGTGATGTTGATTCTCGTTAAACAATGGAATTGTTCCATCAAGGAAATAAACAAGGAAGAGGAGGAAATTGGAAAGGTGGAAATACAGAGCTTAAAACTTTCATCAAGTCTAATTCACCTTCACAGAAAAAAAGTATTAGGATTCACTGTTTCTACAAATAGAAAGGAATTGATTATGTAAACGATGGTGCTATTGAATCTCCCCTGCACCTCCTTACGCCAGTTCCTTCAACAGGGTAGATATAAAATGGACCACAATTAATGTTAAGCATTTTGAATATATACAAAAAGGTTGTCAAGTGACTCCGCGTACACTATGGCCTAGTTAATTAAAAAGAAGATATAATACAAATTTCGTCAGATTACCCCTCCTATAGCCAAGTCAGGTGCATTCAACACTCATTCAAATGAATTTGGGAAATTTCTTTTTATAGGTCCTCGAAGCAGTTAGAGGAGATGGAATTTAAGAAAAAAAACACGTGTATTATTCTTCACAAAAGTGTAAATGGAATTTAAGGTTTTCTTTCCGCTATAAAAAATATCTAAATCACCTTTTTTTCTACCTAATAAGCTTTAAAACCAAAAATCAAAGCCAATTGATAAAACAAGTTTTCAAGAAAGCCGTCATGTCATTAGCATAAAGTGACTGGAGATATTGGTCCGGGTTAGAATAGAGGCAACTGCAAAAAGCACAACAGAGCAAACCAACTCACAATTACAGGCAGAAGAGAGCTTTCATCCGGCGGTAAAACGGTGATGAGGAGACCGGAACAACACAACTGAAAAGGTGAACAATGTATAATAATTTTTTTTCCTAAAACACACAAACAGGAAAAATAAGTTATCTCAACAGCCAACGTAAACTAATGAAAAGTAAAATTCGGCGCATAAATATCGAATGAAAAAACATATTTTGAAAAGGAAAAGATAAACGAAAATGATTTCGGAACCAATATTGACTCTTGGCTATTAACTCTCAAATTTATTTAAAGACCCAATTATGCTAGAGACGCGTTTTGAAGATCACATATAGAGCAAAGGAGTAGAATTCTGAAAACTCTGATAAGAGCCTCTTGTTCCGTTATCCTTCTCTTGAACAGTTTTAATCAGTTCGGCTGGTTACTGCTTTCATTGGTATCCCGGATTAGTTTCGAACCTAAAATCCAGAAGATTCCAGAGAGCACGTCTTCATTTAACACCTTCTTAGAATATTACAACGAAGGGAGAAATCCAACTCAAATCTCAGTAACCAGAAGATAATAGATGTGCAAACGTTGCAGCCTGAGCGTCAGGTCGTAAACACCACGGGTACAGATCGGGCGTTGATCGCTATCCCCAGATCACAAAGCGTTTGTTACGTTCTCAGTGATATTTACAAAAATTTGTGAAGTGTATTTTAAGAACTTACGTAGATGGTTTCAGTAAGTGTCCGGCGCGAACAGTTCAGTTTAATTAAATGTTAACAAAACGTAATAAGAGTAAATCAAACAAATTAATGCTAATCTCCATAACAAGCGATATTTAATTTTGTTGAATAAATAAAAGGATTATAAGCGAACTAGACGTATTTAAGAAGCCTAGACTTTTATGATAAAAAATTTTAAATGATTATGCATCTTGCCCTTTTAGGTGCGAAAAAATAAAACTATTTAGATGCAGTCAAAATAAGTGCATTTATTCGTTTAAATTCTTATTAAGAATTTTCATTCACCTTGAAGCCCTATTTAAAAAAAACTTCAAATATGACATCTTATTTTGGAAAATGAGGTAAGATCATTACACTTTGGTGCAGGGTGTCTTATTCTAAATTGTACTATCCGCAAATATTGAAATATGCTTGATTTCAGTAAAGCTTTTAAACTATTAAATCAATGTAGAATGGAAAAATATTGATGTACGAAAACAAAATTCAGATCGGGTTGAAACTAAGAAATATTAGGCCAACTGAATGAAGCAATTATTTATAATGAACTAGTTAGACATACATTTAGCGAAAGCCAACGCCGCAGATGTGTTGGGGCCGCAGGACTGAGATAAATTACCGGTCGAATAGAAGAACTGCCCGTTAATAAATCCGGTCCATGGTTAAAACCTGGGGAACCAGTATCAGTGTACCAGGATTGTTGCAAAGCAACACGACAAGCCGTAGCAATACATTCACTGGAATCCTCCGCGTCGTAACAAACTCTCAAACAGGAAGCAGAAAAGCTAAAATAAAAAGTCATGGCGTTTTTAGTCATTCTCATAGAATATAGGAGAAAGGAGAAAGAAGTAGGGAGCAAACATACTGCCAAATATGTTCAATTCCGACAGAGATGCTACTAAGAATTCGAGTAAGAATTCGTTGACGATGTCTACCTTCAAGGTGATGTAATAGGGAGTCAATTTGGCCAACAATGGCCTGGAGTTGTAAACAACTTTCGGGGATTTGGGAACGAACTCTCTCGAGTTGGGAGTTCATAGAATGGCCCAAAGTGCGTGTTACCAATTCAGATAATAAATTCCAAAGCTCAGACTCCATCAGTCTTAAACGATAAAACAGTAAAATAATAATGGAGAGCAAAAAAGCATATCGAACAATATAATTTTAGATAACACATGCAGAAATAAAGCGTAATGTATATATGAAAGCTAACAAAATCCGTAAAATACTCCATCTGACCCACAGACCTCCAGTTCCAGATTCGCAAATTTACTCAAGGTCACACATATCCTTCTGAGTTCTAAAATAGACGTATTGATTGAAAGTAGATATAAGCCCAAATATGTATTTATATCCAGTTATTAATAATAATTTGCATAACTAAAAAAAGCAATAATTATGCTTAATCGTGTTCCTTTAACGCCTTAACATAATAGAGATGTAAAATTTCAAGTCATTGAAATATTTCGCAGAAGAAATGGAAATCACTCTGACATACTAATTTAAGCCTTAAGCATATGCAGCGTTTGGTATCGCAATATCAATATTAGTTAAATGTCAATTTTCATGGTGGTAAAAATATACAAAAATCTTATCTAGATATTAAAACTATTCTTAAATACTAGAACGTAGATTATTAAGTTGAATCGTCGAAGAAAGCCCAAAACCGAGAAATAATTATTCACACCGTACTATGTTATTTTGCAATCGTAAACGCGCCATTTTTATGGTACTTCAAAGAAGTAATAAATCCTAGCGTTGAATAGAAAATTATGCAATAGAAATAATATTAAAATTTTCCGAGTTATTTTGGGTTCATGCTATTAAAGTAGTTCTATTTAGTTCGTAAGTTGTCACATAGAGAACGAATGGCTGCGGTACTCAAAACAATTTTGCTTTAATAAACCTTAGTAGTCTCTATGGCTAATTCCCTCATATGCAACCGCATCCGAAATTCGCCATGCCGCTTTAAAAATAGAGAGACCATAATTAATGTAACAATGGCACAGAACATATCTAACCATGTTTTGAACATTGAATTTTCATTGGCTATGAGGTATCTGGGCTCATGACCGTACGTGCTCTTTGAAACGATCAGTACCACACTGTTTTATACAGAATGTTCGAACACCTATAATGTAAATTATTTTAGCCACGCTAGCGTTGTGTATTCCACAAATTTCATTATTTGAGTTAAATTAAAGAAAAAAACATTTGATGTTATCTCATTCATTTTAAATCGCAAAAATTGCAAAAATACCATGACATACCATTTCGGAAAGTAATATTTCATTTCTTTATCTTCTTATATTATCTCCTTCATTTGTTACAGGCTTTCATAAATTATTAATTTTTGTTAATTATATATAAACCAGGGTCTTGTTTTAGAATAGTTTGGTCCATAAAACAACTAATAGAGTTTAATTAAATCGTTGAAACAAAAGGATTAATTTGGTTCAAGACAACGGTACATAAATGTACTAGCAAATCAAACACGGTCGAAAGCAAAATCAGTTTATTAAGAATAATACGCATAAAATGCACAATTGCATGCAAAGTCAGTTATAAGAGGTGTGATTTGAAACAAAAAGTCCGATTAAGTGTTGCTTTAAGACTGTTAGTTTCATCAAGTTTGAACAAATTAAAAAAGTTAAGACTTGTTCATACCCAGCGTTATACCTTTTGTCACAATTATTATTATAAGAGAGACCTAATAAATCATTTAATATTACTATAATATGGAATAATGGTTAATCTTTATTAATCCCATTCCTCTCATTTGTTTGTGTATACGAACCCGTGCCGCGCTTTTCGGACTTCCTTCCTCATTAGGTTTACATTATAATGTCCAAGCATAATTTTGATCAGAATTCACCATCACTTGGATATAAAAAACAAAAGTTGGACAAAAACAACCATCTTACTGATGAAGAGGAAAGTGATCCCACTATCTCAAATGGTCTTTCTCACCCTATTGTTCGGCGTGAAATGTGCCTTTTTTGCTTTGATGTTCTACATAGGTATCTTAATAACCAGGAACCTCCACCGGCACCTAAAACTTTTTCAAATAATGCATAGTAATGTTAAATTCTTTTTTATAATTTCCTAGTCCATTGTTTGTAACTTGGGCCATCTCTAAAGATCATCGGTTGCGCGGCTGTATTGGAACTTTTAAAGCCATGAATTTGCATAGCGGCCTAAGGGAATATGCTCTGAACAGGTAAGTTTCTTCACAAGCTATGCATTGTTAGTGCTCTACGTGATTCTCGATTTCCACCAATTACACTAAAAGAGTTTCCCAATCTCTATTGCTCTGTGTCTCTTTTAATTGATTTTGAAGATGCCACTGATTACAAAGATTGGCAGGTTTGTGAGCGATTTTTTTGTTGCGATTCACAATTTTTTAGATTGGTATTCACGGAATTCGGATTGAATTTGTGACTGAACGTGGATCTCAACGCTCGGCTACTTATTTACCGGAAGTTGCAGTAGAACAGGGTAAATATCATTATCCATTTCCCAACACATATTTGTCGATTGTTTTTGTGAATTGAATCACTTTGTTTGTTTTAGGATGGAATCATGAGGAGACCATTGATTCTCTTCTTAGGAAGGGTGGTTACCGTGGTACCATAACGGAATCAGTGCGCTCTTCGGTCCACCTCACTCGTTATAAAAGTGATAAAATTCAGATTCATGCTAGCGAATATTTCGCTGAACAGTCGAATGGTTATTGTGTGTAGTCTTGCTTGATATCCGATATCATCAGTGATAATTCTACACCATGGAATCTCCGTCCTGTTTCCTGGAGACAGTCTTTCGTTCTTTATCTCCATCCTCTCTTATTCGTCCTACCACAATGTGCGTATATTGAGCTTGTTATTTAAGGTACATAAATCTAACCATTGTTCTTAACTTGGCCAAGATTCTATGTGCGTTGTGCAATTAGTCTTTATTCAATTGTTTTAATCGATCTATGGACTATTTTTTCGCTATTCCACGGTCCTTGCTCTATTAGCACTTTTCTATTTTATTACTGAAAATTTGAGCAAAATGTCTGTTCATCCATAAGCTATTTGGCCTATTGCCATTTGGAAGGTTAATAAACTAGCTGGTCCCATCTTTTTCATACTAGCCTTACTCTCTCAGTTATCCATTATCCGCTTGCGCTTTATTTCAGTCTAAATTGGCTGCTTCGAAGCTTCTAACTCCCGCTTTTCTGGGTTTGGCCAAGTGAAAAACTAATTAAAGCTCTTCAGTGCGCTAAGCTATCACTCTTCAATTTGCAACTGTCTGATTTGGGTTGAAAGATAACCGATCAGATGTTAATAATCAATGGGGCCTTTCTTTGCTTTTATATCATCTCTCATTATTGGTTTTTCACCGTGGACACCTATTTCCTCATCCTGAAAACACGTATCCTTAATTTTTCGGGTTTGGTTCTCTCCTCGGCATGCTTAACCTTGGGTCGCTGAATCGATGCGACGTTCAATCGAATCCTTTTAACGCCATACTATCATAGACGCCTTGTTTCCTCTCATTTTCTCTACACAATAAGAAAGGTGATTTTGCCAATTGTCTTCGGAAGCGAAATTTAACCGTCTATTGACTAGTATTAACTAACGTGGTTATTTGTTCCGTTGCACAAAGTTGTTAGGTTGGGACTCAATCATATTTGACCTGGCTATTTATAAACTTATAACTTATTTTTATTTCTGTTTATTATGGCTAGGAATACACCCATGTCTTAATTATCTGCTGTTTTTTCTGTCAAGATTGTAGGTTGTTTGACGTAAGAACTTTGTTTGCTTCGTAACCTCTTCCAATTTAAGCTATTAATTCCTAACTTCGGGAATGCTTTTTCTGTATTTTGTTTTACTGTAAAGTAGTTCTATTCTTTTTAGCAGCTGAGACATGGTTGAAGGTGATTTTCCCTTATAAAAAGGTGTTTATTATAATGTAATAGTTATTTGTGATATTCCGTTTGATATCCTTAATCTTTGCTTGTTTTTATACTGCTAGAATCAGCATGCAACTCGTCCATTTCTGATTGGTTTTATGGAATTGTAACAAAGTACGAGCTAATCGAAGCGTTGTAATGAATGGGTTTTCTTATAATCAGGGCGTCCTTTTTGGATATCATTGAATTGCATTGAAGTAACTCTCCTTACTGTTCAAACCTTTGAAATCTAACCCTTGGCAGGTTGATCTTCTGTGGCGGTTGTCGTCGTTTAGGGACCTGTCGTTTGTGTATTCCAATCCTTTAAATTGACAGTCAATCGAAAAATTAAATAAATTACTTTTTGCTTCTAAACATCTTTGGCCTTTTCCTTGGTTTGTCAGCAATGATGAATTCCGAAATTGACACATGTGCTGGTCTCCAATTTCTTAAACTCGATGTGTATAGCTGGTGCCGCTTATTTGAATGTGCGCGATCCTCCGTATTCTAGGTCATATAACTTCTTTATTTTAAATTTAGATACATTGACCTATTTTCTTTTCAAGTTTTGATAGAATTACTGTTAAGTCACCAAACCCTTTCTCAGTTGCTCCATCGTAGAAGCGTGTTTTCATTGCTTAATCCTGCCTTATTCTCACTTATTTCAATTGTTTTTTTATTTCGCATTTCAGTATCTTCGTTTTCTTCAGTCGCGGTTACATAAACACCAACATCATTGTCTCATCTAGCCTATTATTATTATTATTACAACTCTTGTCTCTAACTACTTAACTTTCCCTCTTTAATAACAGGCAGCAAAATGCACCACAGTGAAGAAACAAATGAAAAATGCTCTCGATTTAAGTCCCTCTCCTTCCCTCCCCTCCCCCCCCCCCCCCCCCCCCCGCCCCCTCTACACTCTAATATAACTTGCCTTTTGTTCCCTCCTATCTGCCTCTTCACCCAAACTTATAATTTAACACCAATCGTCTTTTAATTACACTTATAATGTTGACAATATATCTATAGAATTCTCTTTCTGTTCGTCTTCCAATTTGATTGCTTTCACACTCTGAGATGTGGATCTGTCCTGGTTTTAGCTGAAGGCACTTTCGCTTAGGTCGTATTGTGGTGGCATTTTAAATGAGGTTATAATAGAATATCTCTAGGACAAATCAAGTTGGAAAGGTGAACAAATGGCGTATTAGCCTACAGAAATGTGATGCAACAGCTTTCTTGAATAATGCCTACTTCCTTCTGAATCAGCTTGAAATTGTGATTGATTGTTTCAGTAGATCCATCTTTCCATACATTCACTTTATGTTCGTGTTGTTATGTGCCTTGATATGTCCTCCCATTTTGAGCTGACAAGGTTGACAATTTAACCCACTTCCAATGACCCAGTAGCACAGAATTTGGTAACTTAAAATGTTATTAGAGGTTAATGGAATTACCCATTTTTGAAGGTAATAAATTCCGAACAAATAGAATTTTAACGTAAGCACTGACTAGGTACATGACCAATAGAAGTGTGAAGAGCCGTTTTTATGCCATCAAAAAATAAAAGTTGCATATTTTCATGCAATGGCTGATAAGTAATTCAATTCTTTAAATATTCATATCAAATGCCAGGCGATTTGACAGTTATCATTAGCCCTTTAGTTGACTTCAGTCTTCACAGAGGGGAAGAAACACCAAAGTGAAAAAATGTCGAGAGGGGGGGGGGGGTGAAACAGAAGAGCGTTTCAAAGACGAAGATAGAAAAGGTAGAAAAAAGGTGAAGTGAGTACTGTAAAGTAGCCGAATATGGCATATAATGGGGTGATGGGAGTTTGAAGTCAGAAGTCAACTGCCGGCTAATAAACTTTTAGTTTGAAGTCAGAAGTCAACTGCCGGCTAATAAACTTTTATGCCGTATGAGTATACGTTGCCCAGAGTGCACCACGTGGAGTTAAGTCTATTGCACACCCATTCTTTAAATATCAGGTGATTATTTTGTTTTACATTGAAACTCGACAAATGCACAATGGAAATGATTTCATTGGAAATTCAGGTCGTGCGGGACGTTTGGAGTCCAATAAATAGCTAATTATGAAAATTTGACCTCGCTTTGTAGGACAACTTTTTAGGGTCTCTGACCCTATCTGAGGACAAATTGTTTTTTCACCATCTCATCACACAAACAACTGCTTTCCGACCTTCATAGAATGCCGATAACTTTTGACGCCCTTGCAAGGTCAAAGCTCTAGGGCGTTTTTTTAGAGAGATCCGCTTAAACCATTCTGCATATTTGCTACTTGCAATTTACTGACAAAATGGAATGAATGATAAAACCGAGTTAATACAAACCTATAGGGGTCAAAGTTGGAGAAGACTGGCTTGCACCCCTAAAAATATCGGTAATTAACCTAGACCGAACTTGTACTCGTTAGACATCCTTCAATGTATCAGAAGTTAGTCGTTGCTACTGTTTTCCCCAATAATTTTTTTTCACTACAACAATTCAATTAATGCAGCATTGGGGTAGCAAATTTTGAATGTATTTGTCGGTACGTTTATCAAAAGGTAGCAGTGATTAATCCTAGACTTTTGATATACGCACACAAGATCGTGAGCTCCTGTCGTTTGATGTAGGGTTTGCAGCGTTAAAAGATGTCTAAAGCTGAAATCAGATATCATACAAAAGCTCAACTATGTCTAACTCATGACAATTAATGCCGAAATTATATTCAAATATATTGGGCTCCTAACTATACTTGTTTACTAAATTAATTTCTGCCTTTCACGGAAAATTAAACTTTAAGTGGCTCTAGATCTATATGCACTTTACAATCAATTTACCTTTCACCACTATTAACAGGGTAAGTAAGATCAGGTACTAGCAAACACCATAAAATAATGCGTATTTTAAACTGCGTTTCAAAAGGTTCATTCGAAAGCACAGACTCTTGTCGTCGGCTCGATTATAACTTTCAAATCGTAATGTTTTCGTGATAGCAAAATAAGTTGACCCAATTTAACTATTCGTCATCAGGATTATATCCTCATCGGCACAACTGAATATACCGATCAATTAGATCTAAAGGTTCTAAACCAAGGGATCATCTCCTAAAATCATAAATTTGGGATATTATATCAGGACGCAGTGAATGTACTCGTTACGAAGTCTGTAGTGGATTGCTACTTTATTAAAGCCTGACCGACTCAGAAATCTCTATGGCAGATCCTCCTACATCTAGCTAGACTCCCAGAACCAGCTAAGCTATAGCCCAGCTATAAAGGAAACAGACGTGTAGCACGGAGCACGTTTATTCGGGACGTATATTGCGGATCAAGTGTACACGCATGGAGCTACTCATGATCAGGATGGGGGATTAGGTTAAACAGAGGTTGATGATTGGCCACTGTTTGTACGGTCGCACCTCCCAATCCTGGTGAGCAGACATGCAGGCATACGATGACGCACAGAGCGATAACGTGTCCCACAGTCTATTTCACTATAGGGAATTCAAATTAAGCGATAATTCTTAGACTTCTTGTGTCAGTACCTCAAGGATTTCCGACTACAACTTCATCCACCTTCACCAATTATTAGCTCATTCAAATACTTTCAGGGTTCGTATGTTTTTCCACGACTAAAGATTGTGGAAAAAATTTACTTTACACTGAGTACTGGTGGTATTTTAAACAGACAATGAGTATCGGCAAATTAACGTAAAAATAAACTCCGAGCAAAGGTATATTTTAGCTAACATCTACTAGATTAGAGGAAGAATACAATGTGTAAATTTTTTAAAAGTCAAA